TAAAGATTTTCCACACATCCAGAAATTCTTAAAGCTGAGCTCCCATAGACCCCAAAGACATAAGGTAGCATGGAACCTCGTTAATATGGATGGAATCTATTCTGGGTACCAATTGATTGAGGTGCTGATGTTTGATTGTCAGCTTCTGCACTTTTCCTAGTGACTTGGCTGGTATGTTGTCAGGATTTGTGGTATAGAGATGAGTTGTTGGAGGGTGTTTGTCTACTGGCTGCCACCCTCTGTGAGGGCCCCTTTATCAAACTTTTGATTTTTGCAGGCATTCCCAGAGCTTTTGGAATCGAGTGTTGATGTCACTCTTCTACATTCATCCCTGTTGTCTTTGGCCTCTCAACTTTCTTCAGCTCTTACAGGTGGTCCAACATAGATGCTAACAATGATCCCAATTAGTCATTAAATTGATGTGGCGATCGCTGAGAGGCTTCTGACACAAGTTGGAGGGATGATAAATGTCTTAGCACCAGAGTTGGGGTCAGACAAATCCTAGAAAAGTGTGATCTATTAAGGTTGACCAAAGACTATTCTGGAACCCCAAATTTTCAGGAGCAAGTCTATTCTTTGAGAGTCTAAGTACTTGTCCACCTGGCAGTGATAGGCTAAAGCATGTTATTCCGACAACTGTAGCAGACAAGGAATAGTGGTCCCTTCACATAACTGAGCAGTAAACCTCCCTGCATGAACCACAATATCAGGGGATGAAGGGAGAACTAAGTATTCCCCCTCAGAACTTTCTGCCATCAAGGAAGGTGCAGACTCAAAAGCAACCGAAGAAAGACCCAAAACATCACACACTCGATGTACCAACTGAAGAAAAAGAGCTGGAGGTGGCTGATCCCAATTTGGCCTCCTAAGAAGCTGACAGAATAAAGGGAAGTGCTGGGAAAAGCAAATCTAAATTCTCTCCAAAATGTCCAGGATCACCCACAAGTGCAGCCTCAGAATCCCCTGGAAAAACTCCACCAGACCAAATATATGTCTCCATAATATCACAAACAGCCTCAACTGAAAGTGACTCCCACCCCTGACTGTTAGGTGACACTAAATATCAGAGGTGGGATAGGAGAGATCCGATTTGCCTCCCTGCCGGAAATAATAATCTGGAAATTCATGGCATATATTGACTTTCCAAAATGAAAAACAAATAGGTAACACGAAGAATGCTCAAAGTATCTCCAACAGTCATAGTACAGAGAAACCCATTAGTGAATGCTTTGTTGAGAAAAAGTAATAATATTATCTGAATGAGGTCCTTATAAACAGTATCAGGATAGAGGGCGCATTGGCATAGGTGGAGAGTGTCATGAGACAGATATCACCAAGGACAATTAAGTGGAGAATATATGACTGGAGCAAGCGATAAAAAAACCAGACCAAACCTTAGGTGGGCAAAGGAAGGAAACCCTAGCAGTCGAATAATAGCTGTGGTGTGAAAGGAGGTAAGTATGTTTTGGAAGTATGGTTCAAATTGTTTAAGTAACCAGGTAACAGAGAATAAATCACCTACAAGGGACTCCATCCAGTTTGAAGAATCACAATCAGAGGCAAAATGATGTAACTAAAATTCTAAGAATATATTTGAATCTGTTCCTATTCTGGCCTGCAGAATATACTAAAGGGAACTGCAATGCCAAAGACAGTGCCAAATGGCAAATTTCGGTGAGATGTAACCTAAAATTCACTTTTAATATATTAGAGAACATACTGGCAAATAAGACAAATCAATTGTACAAGCCAGTTTGTTAAAATAGCTAAAGCAAGAGCCAAAGAGTATGATTCATTATAAGATATAAACAACCTTTCCAAGACCTCATGAATTATTCAGTATGTGTGAGTTAACACTGAATAGGCCTGACAGAACATAAAAGGCATTATTCTAAATGAGAATCAGAAATGGTAACACAACAGGTGAAAAATAGTGATTACCTTCTTTTGCAGCTCAAGAACAAGGGTTTCAAATAAAATAAGGTATTAAGAATTAATGACTCTGTGGTATATGGATGTGACAGATAAGTCAACTCTGTAACCAGCTATGGAAGAAGCTGATAATCAATCCATGGTTATGACATAAATATATAAAGACAGAAGCAATTTGTTTAGGTGTTGGAGATAAACAAGATATATTTAGTACATCAACTTCAGAAGATAGCCTAACAAGACTGATAAACAGCCAGAGAAAAGCATCTGCAAGAATAAACTAACATTTGAGTCACCTATGAAGAGAACTTGGCTTCTCAAACAAAGGACCAAACAACAACCAGCCCTAAGTATCAAACATCATTTTGAAAAATAGACATTTGAAAATATTGTAGAAAATGATTCCATAATGGTCATGGGACTGGTTCTCCATGTGAAAGTTGACATAACAGTCCCATGGTTGAGCATGCCAAAGTGGAGCAATGAGGAGAAACTAGCACTTCAAGTAATTGATCTTGACCAAGAACAAAGGACATTTGCAAATCCATTGAAAAACAAAAGTGTGAAGGATCCACTCTGTAGAAAGAAGGTGATGATCTTGAGAAAGAGAGTCAGCTAAAATATTCACCACATCTGGAATGTGACAGGTTTGAAGTTTAGCAGGTTTTGAATCAAGGCAAAGTAGAGAAATTGCAGCAAAACAAAAGCTGTGAAAACAAGTACTGCCTTCAATGTTGATGTAAGTTACCACAGTAGAGTTGTCTGTGTGAACAAACACATAATGTAGGTGAAGAGAGGACAGAAAGACATAAATATTACACAACCCACAATTCTAACACATTAAGTTGTTGCTTCTTAAGTAATCCAAGAACCAGACTGATGTTGATTTCTCATCACAGTGTCCCAAGACTTAAGAGAGGCATCTGTGAAAAGATGAAAGTTGGAAAGGAAGAAAATGAAATTCTGCTGTCATGATAATGAGTCTAAAGCCAGACAACACTGAGGGTCACATTAGAGGCAAAGCATATAATTGCTCCTCAAGGAAATGACTTCATCTAGAAATCATTGTCTCCAAAGTAGAAAGAATGTCTTTGGTGATTAGTGTGGAAAACAAGAGTACAGACACAGGACTCCAAGGTTTGCAATGCCATAGGAGATGGATGAAGTGTTCTTTGAACTGCATTGATTCAAAATCCGAAATGTACCAAAATACTGTATTGATACTAAATGGGATTTAAGATTTTAGATGATCCAACAATGAGGCATAGTCAGTTAGGTGGTCAACCGAGTGTGTAAGATATTAAGTGGAAAAAAGGGCCAGAACATGCTTGTATAAGATACTAAGAGGAAGAAAGGGTCAGAATATGACCATCATACAGGTAAAAGTGAAAGTCAATGTTGAGGTAATGGAGAAAACCATCAAATACTTTGACTATTCAACAGAACTACCCTAAATATGACAAGATGATGAATGAATAGGGATAGGAAAATAAGCATGCTGTATATTCACCTTTTTCATCCAATGATCTCAACAAAGAAACTTCCGCAACATCCTCATGTTTTCCAATTTGAAATGAGGTGTATCAGGTAAAGACTGAGTTGCAAAAGGTCTGTGACAGATCTCTAATCTTGAATTTTCTTCAAAACTACAAAGAGACAGGAGTAAAAATCTAGAGAAATCTCACAAATGATTTTTGTTGCTTCTTTCAGAATAGATCTAAAACTTCCCGGTCCAAAAGTTGTAAGCAAGCAGGATCAGAAGCTAAGAAGAGGCAAATGAGAGTAAAAGTAAAGACCCAAGTGAAGGAACTGTTGTACCCACTGATATACAAAATATCCAAGATGACCAAAAAAACATTTTGGATGGAGAAGCTGTCTGAACAAAAGAAAAGTCTCACCCCACCTACTTTGATATTAGGCCACATAAGAGGATCAAAAAGTAGGAGTAGATGTATTGAGTTTGGACTCAGTATTAGACAATGACGATATGCTAATCATCTCCTACTGGCATGCTTCTCCTGGATGGGAAACCAATTTGGGTGAAAGATACAATGATGAAACTGAAACTATGTGGAAAGATAAGCACAGTGGATTAATGTGTCAAAGGAATATAAAAGCTATGTAGTAATAGAAAAAAATATTAGTGAGACCCATAGTTAATGAAGACTGCAAAGTAGATATTTATAATAAGAATAACCAGTTACTGTGCAGAAGAAGAAAGTCTCATAACAAGACAAACTGCAAGGCAGAAAACTGACAATGAATCAAAGTAACAGACCATGCAGAAAACTCTGCCCCCCAGCAACCTAATCTGAGGATCAAGAAATTGAGAAGTCATATGAGAAGTGAAATATGAAGTCTATTAATATTGTACTAATTTCTAAAAGCATCAGCAATAATCCAACTACTAGAAGAAGGTAGAAGAAATAAGGATTCAAGAACTGAATCTTCTTGCAAATCACTAGCACCCTGAGGTGTAACTGAAATTGGTTCAAGATTTAAAACTGAACATACCTGAAAAAAGAGAAATCAGTATAGCTAACACTGACAGACATTGAAGACAAATAGGCCTGTGCAAAAGAACAATCTTGTTCAAAAGCATGAGAAAATATCAGGTTTTATGCAAATTGAGCATCCAAACAATTGCAAAATCCATCAGCAGATAATTCAGCATTAACAGCCTGAATATGTTGAATAACAAGGCTGACAACACAGCAGCAACTGGATCACCCTGCATGCTACAGGCAGATTGCATGAGTAAGACCTCCAAAGAAGTTGTAGAAGTCCTATTATTGTTGGAAATATCTACATCAGAATTAATGCTCACTTCCAAATTCATTCTAACAAAGCTGACTACATGAGAGCAACTAAACAAGAAAAGGCTTTTCATATTTCAGAGGTGAGTTTGCCTGTTTGGAATAGTCAATGTTAAAATACTTTTTTTTAAACTTCTAGTGATGAAATCATAAAATAACAGCACCTAATTTCATGTGTAAAGGTATTAAAAATATAAATATATAACTACAAGAAATATTTGCAGTAAACTGAATTACTTTAAAATAAAATACCTTTTTATTGTATTCAGTCTTTTCAGACAAAAGAGCAAAAGCTGTGAGGGTGCCTTGAGAATGGCCTACATATAAAAGTTGGTTCTTTCCAGTTTTGTTAAGTACAAAATCAATCATTGCTGGCAAGTCAAGCAAAGCCATTTCGTCAAAACTGTAAAACATAAAAAAAAAACTAATCAGCATATCAAGTGCAGATACTTTACATTTAAACTAGATTTTGAAAATTATAAAGATATGATATAATTAACAATCAGGTAAGAAGCAAAATATAGATACATGAAAACTGGCATGTAATTAACATTACTTAACAATCTGAAAGGATCATGTCGAATATTTTGTTCAGCACATAAAATACACATACCCTTAAACCCTTTATTTTAGTTTGTAGCTTTTTAAAGCATTTAAATTCCTCTTGACAAGTTTAATTATAAAAAATCATATTATCTGATAAAAGGATCATTTAGTTATTTTAAAACTAAAGCAAATTACAAAGCAATCCAGCTAGTGTATTCTTGACCCCATATCACCTGGAGTTAATGCTTGAAAATTTAACACTGGCATTCTAGGGTTAATAAACTATTACAATTCAACAAATTTGCTATTGTTATGTGGTCTTAAATGATATTTTTAAAGGTATGATTTGACAGAAGTATTAACAAATTGTTAAGGTTTTTTTGTCAAATTACTTTGGAGTAGGGATGCATGAGTAGTAAAATCTGGCCAAATACCAGGTTGCATTTATTACTAACCTGAATTCCCAAAATTCTTTAGAATGAGTGGAATATTTAATGTGTTTCCGTGAGTAGGTGTTTCCTCTAAAATTTCCCAGCCAGACATCATAACCAGCATCGGCAAGGATGAAACCTAGATAAAATATTACAGACATCTTAATTGTACAAGTATCAGCAGCTCAGTTCCTTTTGGTTAAAATACATACAAATAAAAAAGTATTGAAAGTTATGTTGAGAGTCTGCCTTTAATAACAATATTACCACCCACACATACTCTAAATAATTTATTCTTTATGTAGTATTTAGGTACATTGATGCCAAATGGTTTCAAGTACCAAAAAAAAATGCAGCTTCTGGAAATCTTATGCAGAGAATAATTTTGGATATGGGCAGCAAAGCAAATATAAGTGTATTTAAATAAAACTAAATTTTATTCATACAATGTAAATTGTGTGTGTGTTACAGGTCAGATTTTGATTCAAAGTTGAATACTAACTGGTTAGTAGAACAAGAGAGCAGGTTAGAAAACATATATATTTCAAATGAAGACAAAAGCAAGAACAAATAACAATGAAGACACCAAATTTTCAAGTCAGACCAGTCCTAATGTAGTGTCCCACAATCCTTGGAGAATACCTACATCAATGATTATCTCCACTACACATATTCAAGGGAGATAAAGCCCAACTCACAATAGCTTGTAAGAGATGTGATATGTAACATATGTCTGAAATAGAGGATTAGCAGGAATGTCATAACTACAGGATGAGCACCCATACAAGAATTTAGAAACATTATTTGAAATGATAAGAGTATTAACATACTGTACATGCATATATAATCTTCTTTGGACCCAGAAAAATCTTGTTTTTGGTTACAGGCATAAACAAAATATGCTACATTAGCAAAGAAAAAAATATTTTACTGAATGTATGTGACTGTTGAGTCAATCCATAGCAAAGTAATTATGAAATTTAGATCACAATTTTGTAAAACATTTAGCAAGTAGAATATAATAATTTTACTGAACTCTCTTCACAACTGAAAATAAAGCACATTTTGTTTTCTAAGTTCCAAATGACAATTTTGTTCATTGCATACAAGCCATGGTCTATTAAAACTGAGGTCTTTTTCTACTATTCAGATACATATTACATTATGTTTATGATTCCATTACAAGCTTTATGAGTGACTACACTATAAATTCCAAAATAAATAACCAATCCTTTGAATTTGAAGTTTTAGAGCTTCTAAACTAATCTGACTAGACTTTTATCACTTTTATTAAAGTTGTACATACTGTTAGAATGATTAAAAAAAAACAGATATGCAATATCAAATAATATTCATTTATTTTAACATAACTAGATTACTTATATTTTTTGTTTTAGACATAAATAAATATTCTCACTTTGTAATTTCAATATTATTATGAGATAATTCACTCATTGTACTCATAATTCAAAGCTACTGGGATACATATTTTTGGTAAATAATTGATTTCAGATATTGTTTTGTTAGAAACAACTCTCTATGTATTTTTCATCATAATTTGATATTGCAATTTCATCATTAACTGGCATCTAAGATACTTCACTTCTTGATAATGCCATGATTTGAAAGCTATCACTTCGTAAACATTTTTATCTAACAATTGTTTAAATGAATGTTTTGACATGACCTGCATATTTGTTTGCTCTCTTTTTTGGGACAAAAGTACTCTTAGTAACATAGATAAAAAGTGTATGAGGTACAGGCTACAATAAACAAACATGAGATGTTTAATAGAATGCTTTGCTACTTACTTTATTTTTTTTTCTACAATGCATTTAACAATTTATAGTCAGTGATTTAAACAGGTTACCATTCCCTAATGCTTACATGATACTTTTACTTTCAAGTAAAAGATATTAATTAAATACAATTCACCCAGTAGAAAAAAAAAAACTTATGTTATTAAGGTTAGAAATATCTAAAACTCGTGTAATGGTACTGATAATGATACTTAAGATTTAAACTGAAAAAATGTTTAGGCTTTTGAAAAATTCAAGACTTTGTAAGGGTTTCATTTTCATAGTTTTGTCAATTTCCAACTCAATTTTATTAAAATTTAATAAACAGTCTGAGAACTTTTAAATATAACATAAGAATATTTTTAATTCATAAAGAAAATTGACAATGCTAAATTACATACGCCATGACATTCTGAATCTCAACTGAATTCTTATGAATACTTAAGAGGACTAAAGGACTTAATGAAAATGAGAATATGATGGACTTGTTGATTTCACAGTTGGAGCAGCACACCAATGAAATTTACCCTTCAATAACTAGTGTGGAATACATCTTCAGTCAGATATATTTAAGTACATTTTCTTACATTTCCTTTATGTTTTGCATGTAGTATGACACTTGTTAACAAAACACTGAAAGGTTGTAAACACATACTAATTATTTTACTAAAATAAAGGTTGCATACACAAATGGCCCTATTTTGGCCCTGTGTCTTAACTCCTTGGGGAGAAGCAAGTCCATCTCAAAGAGTGACAAAGACTTTTTACAAATTGGTTTGAATTTAAAATCCTTCTCTGCAATACATGTCCAGATCTGCATTCTTGCAGCTACTTTTAAACTTATCTGATAGACATTAGTTCATCTCAATAACACTTTGAAAAATAAGAAGTGATGACAACTTGGAGTACATATACATGGTCATCTGTATTTAAACAATGAAAAGATCATTTCTGATATTTTCATAAGCCAACAAAAAAAAAACAAAGTTCACTTCTTTCAGGAATCAAAGTGATTTATTTAAAGGAAATCATAATTTAACTGTCTATTCTCACTCATAGTAAACATTTAAATTTTGCTTTTCACCTGAGCTCTAAGACAAAACAATACCTAAACTTTAAAAGAATAGCCTAAGTCAGTAAACCTAAATAGTTTATAAACTTTCAAACATTACTAAAATACTTATACTGTTGTGAAAAATAATGATCATTTTATTTAAACACCTCTTCAAACTAAATTCTGATTTATACTCTTTCATATAATATATGACTTTCACTGTCAAGTTATGTAACATTCCTTATCAAATTGTCATTACTTTTGCTTTAAACAATATCATAGTCATTGAATAATACTCAGTTACCATGAATAATTATTTACACTGCAAAAAATAATAATAACTTTACAAACCTATGACAAAAATATTACAAGTATTGACAAGTTACTGCATCATAATAATACCAGATATCTTAATGATGGCTTTATTTCTATGCAAGCTTTTAGGCTTCATCAGCAGAGCTTCTCCATAATTTTAGACAATTTACAAGTTTTTTCATACAATACAAATACTAATTTCAAAAATAAGCCAAAGAAATAAACTATACAATGTATGTACATCCTATCAGCAAGATCACTGTAATATTCAAAAAATATTTTGATAGTTAGTTAAAACCCTAAAAATAGCAGTACTTGATCAAAATGCTATAAGATCAAATGTTCTCAACCTGTGGGTTGAAACCCTCTTCCCTATAGGATCATGGAGGCTTCAAAAGAGGTTGCAAGTAAGTTAGAAAGATGCAAGAAATCTTTTTTCTTTCTTTTGTAAATACTAATATATTCAAAGAGAATTGTTTGCCATTTTCAACCTCTTCACTGTCTGGCTGTTCTACATTTCCTTTTGTGTTTCTTTTTTTTTTTTATGTCTGTTCTACAGGTTTTCTGACACAGTTTGTTAAAATTATGAAATAGTTTACAACTAAACTACAGACATCCTAGATAGAAAAGTTTGTAAAACCTTATGTTAGACTAACTGAACTATTTTATGATAATTTCAAAATTCTGTTATATTCCATTTCTTGTCAACAGATAAAAACACTCTTTTAAAATTTTGCATAAAATCTGCACTAACTAATGTGAGAACTCTTATGGCATGATTCTCACTTTGTACTTGCATGAGATAAATCATTCAACTGTCGAATGTATACACAGTAGATATGTCAACAGAATTAATGACAAATTACCTATGCATAGTTTAGTTTCAAACAAAACAAGTAATGCCAATATCACAGAACATGAAGAGAATAAATCCATTTCAGTAGATTTTGGCATTTTTTTAAATTTGTTCTATGATATCACTTCTTCATTTTCTATCTGAAACATAACTGCACCAACACTATTTAAGGCAGCTTTATAAATGTTTGTTATGGTTCTTAAATTTTTTAGCTTACTCTCTATAATATTTTATTTTTGAATAATAAACAATATCATGTACTTGGAAGAAAAAACAAAAAAACAACTTAAAAATGTTCATGAGCATAAAGATGCATCCAAAACTATAAGAGAAGGAACTTACCAGAAAATAATTCAAAATATTTTAAGTTTACTGTTTTCATACATTCAATTTATGTGAACAATCTGTACATGTTATATTTAAAAACTAGTTTAGGCCTTAATTTACTAAAATGGCTAGAAGATGACAATAACCTACCTAAGCTTTCAGTAGGTGAGTTAATTACCCAGTCAGTGGAAGAACTTAGTAGGCCATGTTGTAAAAAAATTGTTCTTTTGGATGAGAATGTTTTAATAAACTTTGAACTCTGAGAAAACTTTCTTCCGTAAGGAATGTGTTGAACTCCCAGAATGTAGCCATCAGTTGTTTGAACACTGTATTCTTCTACTGGATAACCTTTGCTTCTTATGATCTGAGACTACCAAGAGAGAGACAAGTTTATGATCAGTTAATTAGATATGATATTAGAAGTACAAGCTCTGTTTCCCAAATCGGTGTTCTGTTTATATACAAGTGTAATTTTATTTATGTTAATGTTTTAAATCATTTACATATTTACTTATGAACTAATTTATTTTTTACTTAATATGGAGTTGGATGTTCATATAGATTACTTTAATTTTATTTGAGATTGGAGTTGAATGTTCAAACACAAGATTTCTGTTCATTAATGTATAAGGAGTGAAGTAATTTTTAAAAAGTTCTTTATTTTGATTTGCATAATTCCTTTATTATCAACAAATATATATTTTGTAGATACTGATATGCATGGATGTCAAGAGCCAGCAACAGGCCCCTTTCTTTCTTTTTTAAACATTTCTAAGAACTTATTAAAAAGAAGACCCTAAATTAGGACAGCAACAAGTTCATAAACAAGGCTAAATCATAGCAGCAACCATTTTTAGCTCACAGTACAAGCCTAAAAAATGTCAATAAAGTAACAACAAATATCTATTAAATGTATAAAGTAACAAGCATATATTAATTATTACTCAGATTATTATTTCAGTCATTTGTAATGTATCAAGCATCTACATGCAAAGAAAAGCCCAAAACTATGCTTTTTATGATTAAATGAAGATACAGCTTAAAGGTGCTTGGCAGGCTTTACAGCATAACCAGGTTTCATACACCCGGCCCCTGGGCAGTTCCCCCCCCCCCTCTCTCCTGTCGGCAGGCTGCTGGTATGGGCTAATAATGCTTGGATACGGCTTGAATGGGTAATGAAGAAAAACTTTAATATAAGTTGAACATAACAGCAAATGTACAACGTTTCGACAAGGTACTCTCATCATCAGGTACAATTAGTTTACGCTGACACAGATATATATATATATATATATTATGTTAAACGTATATTAAAATTTTTCTTCATTACACGTTCAAGCCGTCTCCAAGCTTTACTACTACTATTCTCAAAGTGGGTTCCTCGTCATCGAATTTAATATGTGCTAAGTTAGACATGATTTAAATAAAAAAGAAAGTGGAAAAGAAATTTTGTTCCTATATCTTGCTATTGTTAAAAAATGTTTTCTACAGATAAATCTTTTAAAATAGAATATTTTGTTACTGCCAGATCGGAATGATGTCGTCATATGTATAGTAACATGCCAGTTTTAATGTCAAATAATGGTTTAGATAATGTAATTTTTAAATCTAATGAATGCTTACCACATTTCTGAAAGCATCCGGATCAACTCGAGACGACGTTTTGTCAAAAGCTATGCTTAGACTTAAAAATATTAACTCTAAACTTAATAATTTTAAATTTCGCGAACACATTTCAGTATCTCTTGTCTTGTTTTCATTTGCTCACCACAACTACATACTCTGTGAATTTGTTTCACGTGAGTTCAACTGTGCTGACGCCTAGTGTTTAAAGAGGATAACATAATTAAAAATAGAAACTGAAAGAGGCCCTCACAGATTGTATATAATCAGAAAAAATTTTACTCGGCAAAACTAAACAACAGCAGATGGAAAACACAGTTTGACGAGTAACAAACAGTTTTTCCAAGAATATAATTTCAACATGATATGTGTATGCAGATTTAAGGACAGGCAGAGCAATAAAAGTACACTTCCAAGGGTGATAATATATACAAAGAGAGAATTCAGTTTTGGCTTGGAAAACTATATACATATGCATAAGTTGAAGTACATTTTAACAACCGGTTTTTCATAGCAGAAGACTCAGAGATAATCTGCATTCAGTGAAATTGTTCTTGAACACGAGTAACATGTTATACATGTGTAGCTTTAGTTTTTAACATCTAAAAGCTAAAATTAGTCTCATTTTAAAATCAAAGTATGGAGTTTAGATTGTAACTTAAAGTACTAATCCTAACAAGATATTGCTGATCCGAGAGACCCCCCCCCTACTCTCAGTGACTCAGCAGTAAGTCTGAAGTCTCATACCGCTAATATCCAGGTTTCAACACTCGTAGTTGGCACAACACAGATAGCCCATTGTATAGCTTTGTGTTAAAAAAACTGAGACAACTGCTACATAAACGTGCTAATTGAAATTATCAGTTCAGATGGAATACTTATAAAACATTTGGATTATACTAAGTAATTCGGAGCGATTCCAGAATCCTTTGACCGCCTCATTTAAAACAGACTAAAATATTTTTAGCGGGTGGATCTATCAAGAAGTGTTATATTGGGTAAATAGCCATAAGTAAGAAACCTGACTTGTACGATTGATAAGCCTACTCCCATCTATGGCGGTTCCATGGGCGCCGCAGGAAGGGGCAAGGGGGGTCACTTGAAAAAAAAATCCCTAACAGTAACATCCTCAAACGAGAGATCTTCCTAAAGTTTATGCAGCACACAAAAAAACATTTAGAAAGCACGTTGAACAAATCGGAGTCTGTTTGAATGAAGCCACTGATAATCAAGACAACTATGTTTTGTACATTATTTTCGACCCACAGAGCTTTTCATCTACTAATTCAGAGGAATTTTCTGCTTGCTTTGTATATTCAATTGACTCAGTTAACCATACAATATTGGGTCAAGCTGTCGTTAAGTCCCTTGTGAAATATGGCATTGATCTCAACTGTGTATTAACCTCTGTGACAAATAATGCTAGCTACGTGTGAAAGGCATACAGAGTTACCTTTCAAGTCTGCTTCTATATTACTTGCAATGCACATATCATGGCACTAGACAGCAATCTGTTGTTTGGTTTGGTTTTTACTGCACTGTCAAGAATTACAGTTAGCGTGTTTCCTGCTTTTAAGATCGTAGAATAAAAAGCTGCAAAATTGAAAAATTACATAGCTTTACAACCTAATTTTAAAAGGTTTGTTATCTGAGGTTGTTTAAAAGAAAATATGTAGTTGACTGTAATTTCATTCTTGCAGCCCTTTCAAACGATCCTCTTACCAGTAAAAGTTTCATACTTTTTAAAATATATTTTAATATCGGTTTTCAGAATTATAATTTACATTTTGAATAGTTTACTCGCTATGCTAAATATTCAAATACTTCGATTTCTGACTTTGGGGTGGTGATGTTCCTGAATTGTTAATATAACAAACGTTAAGCAACTACTTACATCAATATCAAATGTTTTCTCCATTGTTATGATTGTTTAAAATGAATTACGGTTTTGAAACACTTCATGAAATTTGTTGTTTTTCCTTATAATCATTCATGAATTTCTGTGAATTTTTCGGGCCCTAGGGCCTAGATTGATAATGTTGCGTATCTGCTTGTTTGTTAATTTTCGGAAGAAATTCTTTCCGAGAAACTTCAGCGATACAAGTCCTTTCTTGGTTAAACCAGTGTTTATTCTTCCTCGATACAAACTTTTAGCACACTGTAATTTCACAATCTCGATAACAAAACACACACTAGCTCGAAACAGAATCGTAAATAACCCGGAACTCTCTTCATTCAATCATCCCGGGTTTTTCTGCCAGGCTTATATAATAAAAAAGAGGGCGTCTCGAACGCACAAGTAAATTCATGATCATTCGAGAAATTTGACGTACGCTACCAGCGCCAAACGCGCCAGCAGCATCACGTAACTTCCGCTGTCGTAACAATAATATAACTGTTACACATGCTGCCTTGGTACGTCAGTGAATTTTCACTGCTATGCACAGACAAATGCCTTTATACATTAGAAGAAGCGTAACAGTTTATTAGACCTGAACTACTGGAAATTCAAACTGAATGATAAATCCAGATTTAAGAATGATTTTAGTATGCATAATGTATTCACCAGCCCGTTTACATCCTTTTGTTTTCGTCTGAGCATTCATAAATCCACTGTTGATTTGCTGGTCTTGTTAGCAAGAACATTTTGGGGTGATCCGGCCTAGCCTTCATGACTCCCTTAGCGGTCTTGTAGAACAGCCTTCACCATACTTTACTACCTGTATCCAGCAATCCATTACTTTGTCCTGTGTCCACCTCCCACAAGGATAGATGAAGGATTAAACTTTGGAAGGCTATAGACATCAATAGATGTGTTCTGTTGTCCCTAATCTTCATTTTATATATGAACCAGATCACAAAACAGAAAAATTTAATGCCAGAAAAGAAAAAAATGATCAGGTCTTTTTCGAAAAAGATGAAAATGATCTCCAAGACCATCTCGATAAACTAAACATGCAATGCAAGAGGTGTAATACGAGAATCATCAAGGTCAAGATAGAAACGATGAGAATTGGGAAAACACCAAAACAAAGTAAATATTGAGAAGACCCAACTGAAGAAATGTAAGGATTTGAAATATCTTGAAAGCGTCTTCAGCGAAGATGGCAAATTAAACAGAGAGATATAAACCAGATATCAGAAAGCAAAAAACGTAACCTTGCCCCATGTTGTCCCATAAATACATTCCTTTAGAAACCAAGACCTCACTTATCAACATGTATTACATTTACATCAAAAATAATGAATTAATGCCACACATGAATCGTCAGTAAAAGAACCGAACAAATAATAACATGTGAAATGAGATGCTTTCGTAAAGTGTTAATATGACCAGAATAGATAAAATAAGAAACAAAAAAGTTAGACAACAGCTTGGAGTGAGACCAATACTGGAACATAGAGAAAAGCAGAGATTGAAATGGTCAAAACACTTGGTATGAATGAGTCCAGAGCAACTACTAGCAAAGGAATATATAATTTACAAATAAGAGGAAACAGGGGCAGAGGAAAAACAAGGAAGCGTTGAATCGATGGTGTGAAAGAAACAGATAAAATATGTGACTAACAACTTCATAAATTTCACACCTTACCTTGGAAAGACGTTTGCATCTAGCAGAATCTGTAAGGCGTGAGTAGGAGGCAAAAAAGAAAAAAGAAGAAGAATGTATTAGCCATCTGTGAGAGACTGTGGAAGCTTACACATTCTGAGGCTTGCAATGGCAAAAATATATAATCTATGCATATGACATTCTAGTGTTGAGTGCTCGGTTACATATTTCAATCTGTTGTTGTAGGTAGGAAAAGAAGGTTTGAATCTGAAACCAAAAAATTGTGCACTTATGCACATGAAGTTTTTTGGCCATATTGTTGGCAGAGAAGGAGTATCCAGTAATTATAATGATTAAACACTGAGCTCCGCCTGTGACTAAGAAGGAAGTATGCTTTTTGTTTGTTTGTTTTTGGAAGGGGGAGGCTTTGTGTCGTATTATAAACATTTTGTAGCCAACCTCTCAAGATAAGAGCTCTTGTTGTCTGGTTGGACTAAATTCGATTCAAATTTTAATTGGTCTGAAAATTGTAACTAATCATTCCAGCCACTCAAATGTGCTTTAGTTGGAACCTTAGTGTTGGCTTACACTGAACAGGATTGTCTATTCTTCGTGAAATACAGATGCCAGAGATAGCAACAAGTGTACAATGATGCGTAATCAAACATACGAGTTGTATGTTACAGTTCTTGAATGCTTGCTGTTGTAATATTTGTCAAGCACTACTTGTATGATAGGAAATTCATAGTAAGAATAGAATATGTGTCACTGAGGTAGATTAAGAACTTCAAGAAATTACCGTTAAAACTGCACATTGGATTATAATGCTGCAAAAACATAACTTTGTTGAATAACATTGACTGAAGCAGCAGCACTGTAACACCGACACTTTGTTTGGTCACATGGTGAAAGTTTGGGAATGCCGTTACGGCATTGGGTGCATCAATCTCTACGCACAATAAGGTTACCACTAGTGAATGGACATCACAAGTGACAAATCAGACGCTTTGGAAGAACTCAGATCTAGTTAGGGTACTGCTTGTTTCCCAGCAAGACGAATAATGTAATTCTCAGTTCGGTGGCTACATATAGCCTCTGACATTTGCACAAACAGTAAAAAATGCAAGATGAAGCGTGTGTTGCTGCTATTATCCACATGCCATCAAACATGTGATGCATTTAACAGTTCCAAGATTTATGAAGAATGACGTTTTTTAACTTTGCATGATACATGAAATAGATAACTACAGAAAGTATAATACATTACAGTTAATATAAAAAGTGATTCCCTATGAAAGGTTGAGAGATGGTATAAATGATGTAAACATTACACTGCATGTGATGTTTAGAGTAAAAGCTGGCTATACCAAGTAAAGCTCAGACAAAGAGTTGTCCATTGTTATTGCAAAGAATAGTCCTGAATATAAATATTTCTGTCCCACAGGTCGATAATAACAATAAATATGTGTTGATAATTATCGGTCACTTTTCCAAGTGGACCAAAGCTAAATATTATCCATTGGTAATTTGTCACTTGTAAATTAGCCGAATGGTAAATGACGTAATCCTAAATGCCTGAAGAAGT